TTTGCTGTGAAGGAAGTAAATTGTGCAATTATTTGCACAAATAAGTAAGAATTTATAAATCTTCAGATTTTTTTATATAGCCTTCGATTTTCAAAACTATCTTGAAACTTCTCTTTGAAAACTTTCTAAATGCATCAAAAATATCGCCAGTCTTGAGGGTCAAGTAGTAATTCTTCTTTATTTGAAAGAAAATGCTTATAAATATGTTTTAATGATGGTATTCAGTTAAACTGTTCAGTTTTCAGTTTTGCCTATGCTCTTTAACTGTACAGTTAGACTTTTCAAACTGTACGTGTGTAGCCAGCTTTAAGTACAACACAATAAACGTTGATTACATGTTTATAAAAGTGTTAATAACATTTAAATGGAATGAAAAGAATATAAAAACCAAGAGATAATTTCCTACCAGATCGTTTAATCAACAATTTCAAGTAATAATACTACTCTATTCCTTCGGCTTCGCTTACAAATTTGAATATTGTATAATGAAGTGCTATATTACTTTGGAAGTACTTAAAAGTTGGAATAATTATGAACCGAATACTTGAACCGAAAATTTTGTACACCTTTTTAAGGATATTGCGCAAACGTATGATCGTGAAATTTACGGAAAAAGATAAAGTTAATGGAAAAATAGTGCTTTACGCTATGTTTAATAAGAAAAAAAGAAAATTCTACGTTCTAATATCGACCAATAGGCGACCGCGAAGTTGTGTGCTAAAGCTAGTGGTTACAATAAAAGGTCATTGTGTTTATGTCAGTAGAAATGTAGATTATTTAAGTAATATTGTTTAGCATGACAAACAGTCAAAACGTAATCGTTATATATATAGCGGGGTCAATGTCTTTGATAATATCTTAGCAGCGACTGCAGCATATATTATAATATATTAAAAAAACTCAATAAAAATAACCGTATATACAAGTTTCTTATATTGTTAGACTGTACGTATATTTTTTTTCAAGGAATATATATTGTTATTGAAATAAATATGGGTGATTACGGACAAAATAAACATAAATTTCATATTTTATTATTAAACCAAGGAAATCTGTTTTACACTAAAAATACTTTGTTAAAAATATACCACGACATAAGATTTCTCAACTGGCAACACTTTTTTGGGATCGGATTTTATATTCACTCATAAATAAATAAAAAAATTCAAATTTGGAATTCAACAACAGACAGTCGCGCGCAAATTATTTAAATTCATTGATTTAATTTCATTTAACAATACAGATCTCAGGACAAAAAATATATACGGCCAGTATTTTTATAAAAAAAATATTTTATAATTTGTAATAAATATTTATGTGAATCGGCCTACGAATTATATTACCTTTAATTTATAGTCAATGTTTTTTTGATCATATCGACCCTCTATAGGCCCCTATAAAATGAAAAGAAAAAAGTTCCATCTTATTATATATAATATCTAAAGACATGTAACTATTTTCGTAAAACATTTTGCAATATGGACTTTTCTTTACAATATGTTTTTAATAAAATATATTCTTTACATTGAAATTAGCAAAAATTAAAAACTCTGTTTCGATATTTTTTCCGGGAACATTTTCGCGATATCGTAATGATGTTTTTTATTTATAATTAGGCTGCATTTTATCAGTCGAGGTGAAGTGTTATCAGTTACACTGCAAATCGCATATTTAAGCAAAAACATAATATTAATATATAAAGATATGTATGCAATATTATAGGGTAAAGGTTTATTACCTTATACCCTTGATCTTTTACCTCTGACATTTTGATCTATATTATAAAAACTCTTTTGATTGCGTTTGTTGAGATTTTTAATTAAGAAATATTGAAACTTTTTTCTAAATTATTTCACAGCTAGCTGTCACCCGAGACTCCGTACGCGCGAAAAAACAACCTTAATTAGTAGCCTACGTGTTCTTCCAGACTATGTTCTACATCTATATATCAAATTTCATAGAATACGTTGAGGCGTGATACAAATACCACCTAACAAACATTTGCATTTATAATATTAGTAAGACTAGAAATTACTAACTAATTTTTTGTCCCTGTACCTAAGTAAATCCGGGGTAAAATGCAAGTCAAAAATATCTAAGGAAACTTTACCATATTCATGGTATAGATAATATTCAAAGGAACTCAGAGTGGTGAATGAATCGTCAAATTCTATAAATTGTGTTGGGTTAATACACAATCATTTGCCATACAGGATGTGACGTTCGACACAAATTCATTCAGTTATACGTAAAACTGATACATTTAAAATTTAAATTCAGGCTGTAAAAGCAACACAATAGTTTTAATTTTTTTTATATCTTAAAATGGCAATTTTTTGTTTTTTGTGACTGAATTGCAACTGTTTGCCTCAAGGAGGCATTTACAGCTTCACCGGGCTTAAGGTGGCCGAGCGCAGATGGCACTTAGCCTAAACCTCGTTTAAGAGTAACTAAGCTACAGGGCTCCCTCAGGAACCTCGGCTCGGGCCGTTACTTCTTTATTATTACCGGATTGGGAGGTTAAAGGATTGGGAGTCAATTTCTTGTGTATTGTAAATCGCCCGTAAGAAGTTACACTGTTTAGTAAAATGTTTAAACTATTTGTCGGCCGAATTAAAAATTTTATTTTTAGTTTTGCAACAGTGGAAGAATTTTTCAAACCGGTTCAGTAGTTTTGAAGCCTATTCAATGCAAACAAATAAACGAATCTTTCCTCTTTATAATATAAGTACAGATAACATAAATAATACGACTTTTTTTTAAAGTTATGGCAAAACCTCTTTGTTTTGTTAAAAGCTCTTTTTACTCTTTTAAACGTCATGAAGGAAACAAATTGGAAAAACTTATTTGAATCATAAAATGGACAAATTATTTGCTCAAACTAGTCCTTATTTACTTGTAGTAAAAAGTAAATTACTATTTAACCTTGAACTGCTGCAGGACACAGTAATACAAAGTATATTTTAGCCGAAATAAGTATTCTATAACAGTTTCTAGAGTATCAGAAAAAAAATAGACAGTAATATAATTTTACATTTTTCTTCGACCATAGTAAAGACATAAAAATACAAACCACCATAATTGATATTTCTTATTTGAATAAATTATCCAATAAGATAAATTTTAAAACAAAACATCTAGACACTTCTGACGAAAAGAGTCACATATCTACCAAGGGATGTAACCTTTTTCATCACATACGTCGATTTTAGAAAGTTAAGTCAAACTTATAAACGCGATAAACGTTGCTTAACCTTACCAAAGCATGTTGTTACTGTTACATATATATACCGGAGTATGTATTAAATATTATGTAGTATATAAACGATATAGTAACATCACGTGTCACCATAATATAGATGATGTAACACTAAACAGGCTCGTATAAGTGAAAGTTGTTAAAATAAAAACTCACATTAGTTGCGAAACCGAATGATAACGACGACCGAGTTTTGCGAGTCGCTCGCTTTAACTGACGGTCAAGAGTTCATTTTAATTGGTGTTGCCATAAAATATTATAAAAATTACTTATTAACATGAATTCGTTTTTATTTCCTACCAAATTCCTTGTTATTGTTTTAGTAATATGTATTACTAAATATAATATTACGTAGAATATTCGCAATTAAAACGCAATTAATACAGTATCTTCAAGATTTACTAAAACCAATATCACAATACGGAATAATTCAGGATTGAAATATTATTAAGAATATTTACTACTACTTTCTCTACAGTTATAAAATAAAAACTATTTCTTACTTTATTTCGATGGAAAACTCCCCAAATCATGGTAAAATCTCATTTAATGGTAACACTGCACTAAGTTTGCATCTTTAGTGATACAGCATTCCCCTCTCTTATTCTCAAGGTTAGAAGTTTTTTTTCTGGAATACAACTTTGTTTTTATTCCAAACTGTGTAATTTAAGTAACATACTCCATGACAAGAAGTAATAATCAATATTTTTAAGTTCCTACTGCAGACTAATGCATAGTGTAGAATTTTTATTTGATTGCTTGGTTTAAAATAAATTTAATTTAAATTTGAAAAAAAAAACTTCAAATAAAATGACTTCAAGAATGCTATTATTAAAAAATATAATAAAAGTAATTATGGACCTAATTTTGTAACAGAAAACACTGAAGTGACCTAAGTTAACACTAGTTTACATCTTAATAAACAAATTAATGATCTAAAAGCTAATTTAATTAACCTTAGGTTAAAATTTAGGTTAAACATAAAAGTTTGAAAGGTAGACAAATATTAAAAACAAACACAGAAAATAATTAAATAAAAAGATATACTAGTTTATGACTACATTCAGAACAAATAATCAAATCTCTTCTAAATAGATGGTGCAGAGATGCTGCATTTAGTTAGAAAGGAGATCCTTGGCATCTTATGATACAAGTATCTCAAGTTCTACAGTCTTGCAGTATCTTCACCCTAATTTAACACTATGAGTTAATATTGATAAATAATCTTTAAGATGACTTTAATTTGAAAGCATGTTATTATTAAGTACTATTAGAAGTATAAGCAAATTGGATAAAAATAAACTGCTCATTTAATTCTTCTTTTATATAAAAAGGGATATAAAAAATGAGGTTAACATGTAATGTGCAATTACCTACAACAAAAGATAATTTTCGAATCTATTCTGAAATCAAAACATGTAAAGACTTACCTGGTTATGCAATACCTCTAGTACAAGCACTAGATTAAGTTACATATTGCCGTAGTTTTCATTTCAGGTATAAAAAGGTATTGCTTGCGCTTGTTAAAGAACTCAGTAGTTATGTAAAAGTTTGTAACTAATTTTAGATAGTTGAGATAATTACATAAAAGTTTTCGAAATGTGCCGGTCAAATTGAATACACAATAACAATAAATATGAAGCATAAGAACATGTATATAAATATTTAAAAAATATTTAAATAATTATTTCAGTAGTATACGTGTTTTATTCAAAGTAGGTAAGTATTAAGAAAAACTTACAGTTGTTTCTGTATAGGTCCTCAGCTGAAAGTTGTTATTGGGTTTTAATAAACTTTTGAAATAAACGGTGATATGTTAGCATTAAAATAAATAAAATAACTTTAAAAGCGAATAAATTTAAGCCTTCGAGCCAGAACACATTTTCAATGATGTTAATGTCAATGTCAAATTGACAAGATGTCAAGTCGGTTCAAAATTCAAAGAGTATGATACAGACAGAAAGAAGCGATGTCAAAGAGAACATAATGGAAAGTTTCCTCGTTGGGCATTCACTTTATAATCTGCCAGAAAGTGAGATAACTTTTTCGTATCAAAATAAATATTAAATTGCACCCCTCTATTATTCATGATTGTAAAATATAATTTTGTGTGAAATTTTTGAACCACTAATCATAGAACGAAAATAACATAAAATGTTTCTTATTTTTTTGCAGATTATCAGTGACAGAACACAGAAGTGACAACTGGAGAGTTTTGATTTTGAAAGCAAACGTCAATCTGCAAATGTAAATGCGGAATGCGGATTTATTTTTCATTTATGTTTATAACGTTAACCTTTCACTTCAAAACTTGGAATTACGATTAATACTTACGACTTCGAGGTGTAAAGATATCTTACAGTCTGTCCAATATCCACGGTGTTTTATTATTTTTCAACAAGTAAAACCTTTATCAGACATCGAGTTCTAGGAGTGAATCCATTTTATATTGCTTACGTACATAATGGCTAACCAGGATAAATCTAATTCCGCGACTTCAAGTGTTAATCCGAGTGCTTCACAAGCTCTGCAAACTACAGAAGATGAAAACCAAAAGTCTTGCTGGGTTTGTTTTGCAACAGAATCTGACGACAGATTAGCAGCATGGGTGCAACCCTGCAAGTGCATTGGCACTACGAAATGGGTGAGTAAAATTAAAGCAGAATTTTAATCTCAAAACATATTAAAAATATCAATCAACATAAAATAAACTGCATTATTTGTCATGAAATATTTAGGTACATAAACATATACAACTGTAATTCTGCACAGAGTACGTAGCTTAAAGGTCATGGTTCTTTTTAATTAAACAAAAAATTACTCTTTTGTTGCTTTCAGAACAAAGTTTTTAGTTCCTCATTTCTTCCATTTTTTTTAGGGTTTAAAAATAGTATGATTTAATCTACTATACTTAAATCTATTAAGAGAGATACATTTATTATATTTGTGAAAATGTATGCCATTAGACTGACTATACCAACTAGACATTTAAATTGTAGATCGAAAAAAAAATATGTGTAGGTATTAAAATGTTTCAATAACAATGTACAAAGTCAATAGTATAGTAGTGTTAGGCAGAAAAGGGCACCCTCCTAAAACATAGAAAGAATGAGGATAAGGGATTCCCCTTCATTCGATCTCTTTAAAATAAGACAATAATTTTTTTAAGTATTTTCCCATATATAAAAATAGGACTGTTTTAATAATTATATTCTCACACGTATTTTTTGTAATTCCCTTATCATGATGGATATCTCTTTGTTGCATTTAAAAATAGCTAAACAATGTTTTTTAATAAAAGCCTGTTTGTTTACATGTTTATTTTCCTGTTGATTCATATCTTTATCATATTTAACATGTTTGTTGTTGTGTCAACTAATGATTGATTGTTAAGTTTAAACAATACTTTGTTCGTGAAGAAAGTAGTAAATAGTTTGCATTTGTTGTTTTTTGTTCTTGCGAAAAAAGTATTTGTAAAGATTCTAAAAATAAATAATTTTATTTATGATAGATTTAAGATGTCACATGAGACATGGTACATGCGGTTTTAAAACACAAACATTTGCCTATGCTCTCTTCCAGACAGTGCAATATATCCATAACAAATTTCATCCAGATTCTGGCAGCCGTTCTGGAGACACTCCACAAAAAAAAAATTATAAACAACAAACATCTAGATAATAAATTACTTTACCTGTATGTAGTTTTAAAAGTTTAATTATTCTGCATGTGTTTGTTTTATTACTACAATAGTTTAAATTTGCAGTTACAATGATAAACAACAAATCATCAAACACATATTTTAAAATAATAAATGCCATAAAAGTTATAGTTTTTAATAAAGAAGTCATGCATATATTTCATTTACTACTTATGAAACTAACTCTCAAAAAATATAGATCTACCAATACAATAACTTAGTAGTCTTAGGTATTCTGAAGGTTCCAAAGTCTATGTTAAAACTTTTTATTAATATAACAAAAGATAGTAAAAAATGTTACTGTTAATTTTTACCGTCAAAAGACCCCTAAAATTGTTATGTAATTTAGCCAGGACAAACTAAATCCTAAAGTTGCATTATTCGGTCAAATTTCAAATATTTCTTATTGTGATTTAATACATTGTTACTAATGTTATATGCAATAAATATTATCTGCTTTTGATAAGTTTTTGGTGTTAATACCTTTATCATATTAATTATTACTGTGGTTGATAAGTACCAATTGATATGGAAAAAAATAATAGGTTTTAAGAGTACATAATTAAACATTTGTTTACATATTGTTTGGTGAGTACAAACACTATTCGGAACATATGTTACTGACTTACTAAAAAAGATATATAATTGCCAGATTTAGTGGCATTTGTCGGGTGAAAACATTTCTAAATTGTAGTGGCATGTAGCTTGTAAGTTGAATAACTTCAAGTTTAAGAACATTATGAAGTAATAAACATCTGTGTGAAGCAAAACTTTAAGTAAAATTAGAGATCCAAAATTTTAAGACGCTACACAAATCCCTTTTTATTAAAAAAAAAACTTAGTAAATACCCTATTTGTTCCACACTATGATCTACATCTGTTTCAAATTTTATCATGATTTGTTAATCGTTCTGGAAATACCTTCTAACAAACATCCATCCATCTATACATCCAAACTTTTGCATTAGTAAGATTTTTATTTCTCTAAAGATCTCTTTTTTTTTAAAACTGTTCTGAAAGATGACAAAGCCTTTATACAGGTAGTTTGGCAGGGCAGGGGAAACCTATGATAACATCATGAACACACTTAAAAAGCATTATCACCTTGTAGTTTAAATTCTTTCAGGTACATCAAAGCTGTTTACAACGTTGGGTTGATGAGAAGCAACGGGGCAATATATCGCGTAAAGTGCTTTGCCCACAGTGCAAAGCTGAATACATTGTTGTGTTCCCCTCAATGGGTACATTTGTAGCTTTGTTGGATGCACTCGAGGAGATTACACATAAGATCAGTCCGTTCATTGCTGGTGGGGTGCTTCTCGGTTCTATATATTGGATTGCTATTACGTATGGTGCAGTTACTGTTATGCAGGTATGTTGGAGTCTATATAATAATCCTTATTTAATGTTTTTTTCTTGTATCTAAGTATTTATGTATGTAAATGTGTTTCTATTTTTGTGAGTTCTTTTGTAACGGCTAAGAGACTAAATGAATGACACAATTTTAGCAAGTGAGGTGTCATTTGATTCTTATACCTTTCTCGAGTGTCATAGGAGTACTATCAGATGGAATGTTTAGTAACTAACAAATTACATTAAGATGTCATTACGGGGTACGAAAATTAAGGTTATAGAAAAATTAAATCTTGTAATACAATCACAATAATATTAATAGTAATAGCTTTCTCATGTTATATTAGATTTACTTTTACAGCAAACAATCCTTAGACCTAAATACGCCCAGCTATAATGTGGGTGCCTTCAAGAGTAGGGTGATTATGTATTTCCTAAGCTAATGCGTACCATCCTTTACATAGCCATTTACTATCAAGTGGGTTTGTGGTCAAACAATGGTTTATTCTATATAAAAAAAAATTGCTTCACAATAATTTACGTGCATTTAAGCACTTACCCACTTCGTTTTGGTAACAAGCTTGAATATTTTACATTATAATGCTTTGTATGCGTATATTATTTGCTTTGTAAATTCATAAATGTTCGAAAATGTTGTGAGATGTTGAATTGGTCATGTTGTTCGTGTTTCTATAATTAGCATATGTGAAAAAATAACTGTATAGGTTTTTTGTCATATTTATTTGTCATTTCATTGACTTGAACGGTATTCTCGTTGAATTGCGGCTAGTGGGTTAACTGGTAAAGTTTACACAGTTTTTTAAAACGATCAAATATTTTCGTTTTTAAAGTCAACTTAAGTATGTCGCCACTGACGGGCGCCTACCCAAGTTTGGGATGACCAGGCTATTGACAACCAGCTCGAACTAGTGTGGGTTGGATAAAAAAATATTCTTTATAAGCAATTTTTTTTTAAATAAAATACTTTATCGGACCAAAAATAATTTTTCACAAAATTCACTTATTTCAAGTAACTAGGAGAAACAATAACAAAAGTAACCCAGTGGGGTTTTGCTAATCTAGTAACTGTGTGTCGGGTTAATTTTTTTTTTTTTTTAGCGCGGAACTCCACCCCTGGTGCTCCGATTTTGATTTTTTACTATAACCAAGTTTGTTTCCATTACAATTTAAATGATATAGATGTATATTTATAATTTTAATTAGGCCTGTTTTTACTTTATATCCGCGTACAAGTTCCTAGTTAATAATTCCGGTGTATTTATTTTACTTTTTATCAAAAAAAACCCTGAATAAACCAATCGCCGAACATATACCAAGGTTTCTTTTTTAAATAACCAACCTTTTATTTTACGTTATCTTACTCTTACTAATTTATAAATGTGAAGGTTTGGATGGATGGATGTCATTGAAGGTATCTTCGAGAACGACCTTATGGATCTCGTTGAAATTTGTCGATGTAATTGTTGTTGTAATGTATGTTATTTTTATTCCGCGCATACGGAGTCGCGGGCGACAGCTAGTTTTGCATAAAACTACAATGAATTGTAAAAAAAACTTTCTTTATGAATCACACCGTCTATTGGTAAAAAGGTTAAAAGTAGTTTTTTTAGTCCATTTTAAAAAAGTCAGCTGTGACGAAGACTTTATTACAGTTTAAAAGTCATTACTACCTAACAGAGATAAAAAATTACAAACATGATTTAAACATTTTACCTTTTGTTGTGAATATAATGAAAGAGATATTGTAAGTATAACTTTTACCAGCGACTTCGTACGCGCGGAATTAAAAAAAAAATAAGTAGCCTGTCTTCTTCCAGACT